ATGCAGTAGATCAGAAGTTACACTACACGTGCAAAATTAATATATTAACGATTATCCTGGAAATGTTGCATTATCCTCATACAGCTGACCTAGTTTCACTCCACCTCACTCACCAGGCATCCCTGCACTGCTACTGTTTTATCAGTGGTTCACGCCCTTCCATTTTTCTTGTCTGGCAAAAACAGCATGTGATCTTCCTGGGCAGGAAGAGCGGTTTCTCAGTATCTGGATCATGCAAAACTGAATTAAAAAAAAAAAACACCAAATTGTCCTCGAATGGTTAGCCAGTAGTAAATCTCTGGCCATGTTAAGAAACAAAGCTCCACTCTTGTTTCTCAAGATCATACTCAATGAAAAGGGAAATTCATCCTACTGCCCACTTCAGTAAAGCTTTGGGATAAATGTCATGACTAGGCTTATCACAGAATTACTGCATTCTGGCAGCCATAAAGAGGATGTTTCTGGTGATGGGTTTTGGGCCAGGCCATATGGTCTGTTAGGAAGATCAGAATGTAGGAACCCAAGTTTACAGACTGAGCAGGTCATATTCTCAGCTTACTACGCCACAACTCCCAGAACCTGCTTTCAGGGCAAGAAACGTGCAATAGTGATCCTGAGCATGTGCAGAGAGCAGTCCCCTCTCCACCGAATTAGTTCGGGCCACTTGCCAATGGATGGGGAGTTAGAGCTTCAATTCGATAGAAATTCGCCACTGGGTAGATGGTGACACAAGGAACAGTTCCTCCCACATCCAACATTTCAGTTAAGAACGTGGCCCATCTTTGTGGTACTGCTGCCTACTAGGCCTGGAGCGGATGTACCAAGACGTCTTTTCAGGAGATGCTGTGGACAGGGCTTGGTTCATGCTCTGTCACCACTATCTGAGCGTGGGGAATCCTCCCAAAATAATGCTGGTCAGCAGCCCTGAAAATTCCTCCTTTCCTCACTGCACGGGCTCTGACCTTACAATGTTGGAAGATCGGAAGCTGCCTTAGTACAGTGCAGTCTAGCTCAGTATCGACAGCAGCAAACCTCTTCCCTTTCCTTCGTCCAGGAGATTCGGAGGACTGGCCCTGGGGCTTCGGCAAGGCAGGCACCTTGTTCTCTGATAAAAGGTGAGTTTATCAGGAGGTGGGTGGAGAGGATGCTTCTGAAGCAGGCAAAGCACCATTCAGGCCTTTTCCAACAGAGAGTGGGAGTGGCCCCGTGAGCAGAACGCAGCGTCCTGAGCTGTTGTGTTGACAAAAACAAAAACCAAGCACCTAGTCCTTGTGCCTCAAAGTGCGTGGGTAAAAGCAGCTGGCAGATCCCAAGAGACAGAGAGGAGACTGAAACAGATTTCCAGGATCAGGGATGGAGCTTTGGTGGCCAACACAGGTGCCAGCCCTCCATTCTAGTGCCTTGACTAAAATATAAATTAACTTTTGCAAAATATCACTGTGCATGTGCGTGCGACTCACAATTCTGATTTTGCTGCTGGAGAGTTAGGATCCCTTGGGCCTGGTAAAGAAATGTATAGTTATTAGGCGGGGTCAACCAGCAGAATAGAAATCTGCCATGATTTCCCCTCTACCTGGCAGCTATTGCATGCATCCACACCTGCTCCAGAACGGGGGGGGGGGGGTTGCTTGGAAGATACCTGCCTAATTTTGGATGTAGCTTATTATCACTAGATTAAGCTTTATATAACTATGTCCCAGGAAATTAAGGAAAGAAAAACAGTCACAGATTACCAAACAGAAAAGACTTGCTGACAGCTTCTGAAAACTGGTGGTTCTGCCAGGGAAGCTGGAAAGGCATTAATGCAAGCATTAGCCACAGAATAATTATAGTTTCTAACCTCTAGTGTGAGAGGATAAGAGCATGGAAATTCACCCTTAGCAGCTGCTCTTCTAATAGGAGGATCCTGTTCTTGGATTTACATTTAACCCACAAAGCTAGTGTGTCCAAACACAAACAAACAATAGATCTGGAACCACGCACACAAATGTTATCAACACAAACACAGTGCAAAGCAATAGGTGTGGCTGGCTAGCAACTCAGGTGCAAGATGAAGGGCACCCGTTTGTTCTACCAGCTTCAGTGCCTGAATCATAAAAAAGGAACGAAGGAAATCGGAGGAAAGACCATTCTTTTTAAGGAAGGAAGAAAAAAGGAAGGCAGAGAAAAACAACAATGCAGAAAAGAATATTCTAGACTTGGAAAGATGCTTAGAGGACTGATACTTTTTTATCTCTGGTTTTCTGAGCCAGACAGAAAAGGGCAAACCTGAAGGTCATGTGTGCATGCAGGAGTGCGTGTGTGTCTGTATGTGTGTTTGCACACACAAGTCTTACCTCGGCAGCTTCCTTCTCAAATTTCTCAATGGTCCTTTTGTCAATGCCCCCACATTTGTAGATAAGATGGCCAGTGGTGGTGGATTTGCCCGAGTCCACATGTCCAATGACAACAATGTTGATATGGGTCTTTTCCTTCCCCATGTTTCCTCTCGGTTTGTGTTTGTGCTTCGCAGCCGATGCTAGCTAAGGGATGGAAAACGGAGCAGCGGCTGCAAAAAAACAGGGCAGAGGAGGAGGAGATCAGAGATGTCGCCAGGAGCAACAGAACACAACACAGCACCAGCCTCACAACAGCGAGCCTTTCCAGTCTCCTGTCCCCCACGGACAATACGCTGGAGGGGTTCCTGTAACACAGCGAAGTCTGCACTTAAGCAACAGAGCTCTTTTACGGTGAAGAGCAGCCTGAATGTAGGCCAGGCAGAAGGATTTATTTATTTATTTAAGACATTTCCAAGCTATGCCCAGAAAAGGGGTTTTCAATGCACTACGCACAAAAATTAAGTATTCAATATTCAACAACATAAAATAAATTAGTGAGTAAAAGCAACCAATGCAATTTGAAAAACGCAGCAATAAAGTGACTTCAGCAGGTTATACATATCATCTAAAAATGCCTGGTCTAATTAGGGTTAAGCCAGTGCCAAAAAGAAGGCAACATGGGCAACAGACACCCTAAATGAGGACATTCCAGAGTTGGGGTGTACCACTGAGAAGACCCCCCCCCGCAAATGTTAAATGTATTTCACTTTATAGATGAAACACAGCAGTTTCCTTCATGCAATGCAGACTGATACAAAAAGAAATGCTGCTTGAGACAGATGAACCCCAAGCCACTAGGCCTTTAAAGCGAAGTGGCAGCCCCTTGAATAACAACAAATGAGGCATTTTGCAGCCAGTGGAGCTCCTTCCGACCTGATGTAAGATGGCTCCACATAGGGAAAGCCATCTGAATCCTTGCAACCAAATTCTGTACCAGCTGGAAGCTTCCCAGCCGTTTTCCAGGACCACCCGTATGTATTTCATCCACGTAACTGAACCTGGAAGCGATGCCCCTTCTTCAGTGGGGACAGGGGCCCATTTCTCTTTTCTTCCTATAAGCTACATTCAGCCACGTCCATATTAACTATCACACCGCCAGCCAGAAGGCAGCAATGTCCCCTCCTTCCTAAAAGGGCTTTTTTACAACTAGTAACCTTATTTGACTCACAGATGTCACACCCTGGAGGGTGCTCAGCTGCTCCATCCAGATAAACCACTCCGAACAGGAAAGACACATTCTACAACATCACACATTTATTCACCAAGTGTGTGCTCTCCTATCATCCCCCCAAAAGAGCCAAATTAGAAAACCAAACCCCTACTCTGCTTTATACACTAATTCCTAAGGAATGGGAGAGTATGAAGCAGGACCCGCCCGTGTAAAATTCAAATCCTCCCTAGCAATGTTCCAATAAGCTCATCTTCGGAACAGACAATATGGTGTCCACAAATGGAAAGAGCCAGAAATAGCTTTCCATGTGCTTCCCTGGAGCTGGTGAACTAGAATTCAACTGTGCACAGAAGGATCAAGCAAAAAGGGAATGAGGAATTGGATTTCTTCCCAAGATACAGAAGCATGGCACCCAAGTGATCCAAATCTTTTGAAAAATGGCATCATGGCAAACCTCAACAAGAAAAGCAGTTTTGTGACTCTGAGCTTAAATATTTTATTTCAATAAATAAAAACCTTTGAAATCAATTTGCCAGTATAAATCCAATTCCATCGACCCGAGTTATATATCTGAGTAGCAAACCCTTCCTCCTCTGTAGAAAGCGAGAGAAAAAAGGAGAGCATGAATTTAAAATCTCAAAAACAAAAAAACAGCTGCAGCAAGCCAGCTGTTTGCATCTCCCACATCCTGGTGCTCCAAGTTCCAAATACATTTCAGATAATAAAGTCACCATATCTGCTTCCAGAAACATCTATCCGTACAAATAAATCCCCACCGCTTTCATGCATCATTATTTCAGAACCGAAGGGAGCTAAATTCATTATGTCACTGGGCAAAAAAAGGTTATCCGGATATTTTGAGGATGGGGAGGGCCGCCTCATGATCGCCATAGGTCCTTACACCTGCCACCCACATGTTTGGCGGATCATCTCGACAGCCTCCCCCCCCCCCGCCCACTCGTCATTTTGCCATGGGTTATTTTTAAACACCCGAATGACCCAACCTGGGCTATTTCAGATCTCCTGCAAGCTAAACACCGCATAAATCTCCCCAGGCGAGAACATGCTAAATTCAGCCGAAATGCAAAACAGCACCCCCAAAGCCCCTCCCTCCTCTGATCCCCAACTCGCGCCGCCGCCGCAACACACCCACCCACGCATTTTTAAGTATTTTCAAGGTGATTTTGCAAAGCTTTTAATCTGGCGGGGGAAAGGGTAGCAAGGTCAAATGGAAGCCCAGCCGCACGGGGGCCGGGGGGGGGAGCATTTGCACTGCTTTCCCTGCACACGCAGGCAAAAAAGTGTGGGGGATTCACTTTGTAAACGCTACAAAGACCCTGGATGTGTGCGACGGGGGAGGGGGGCATAACGATCTAATGGGGGGAGGGGGGGAGGGAGGAGGATGACTTTGCAGTAAGCCGCCTTCCTGGAAGCAACGCGGCTAACGCAGCCCGGAGACCGTCAATAGCAGCGTCTCGACATCCAGTCTGGAATCCACCCAGGCGTTTGGACGGCTTCGCTTCGTCCGGGGCGGGCATGCTCCTGCTTAAGCACATCAGGGATCGCGCTCCGAAGCCAAACGTGCAGTCGGCGGTGTGCGCCTAGGTGCGGCGGGGGGGGGGGGGGGGAATTAAAGCTCAAGAGGCACGGGGAGCCAGCTTGTAAAGCATCCTTTTCGACAAAGAATATGCCCGTTATTTCTCCTCCTTGCAGAAAGGCGCAGAAGATGCCCAGCCTCTGGCAAAACACCGAGCAGAGTAACCCCCCACACCCCCCCATACAAATCCTCTTTTCCCGAAGCTTCAGCCGAATTCGCGCGCGCGCTCCCGCCTCGACTGCACCTGTTCCAACCCCTTTCCTATTTTGCTATATCTGCTTCGCCCCCCCCCCCCCCCCCGATAGAGAAAGCCGGGGGGGGGGGGTCGTGCGTTGCTATTGCGCGGCTTGCTCCGGGAGCTCTTACCGGCAGCTGCGATCTCGGACAGCAGAGGCTGCCGGCTTCGGCTCCGGCGGCTTTATTGCACCGGGAGGGGGTCCACCTATTGACGGTGACGGCGCAATGCAGTCACCCCCCTCTCCCCCCCCTCCGCACTACAGCATTGCGGTACAGAGAGAAGAGGGAAGGGGGAGGAGGAGGGGAGAGGAAGAGAAGGAGTCTGGGAGGAGGAGGAGAGAGAAGGAAGGCGGATGCAAGCTATGGAGGGAGGCAGAAGAGGCTGCAGGTGGGAGGAAGGATGGAGGAGGAGGACGAGGAGGAGAGAGAGAGAGAGAGAAACGCCGGGGTGGGGGCCGAGCACGCGGGCGCCAGAGAAAGAGGCCCGGGCGTTTTGTGGCTTTTTAAATTTGCAGCCCGTCTCGAGGTGCACGTGCGTTAAACAGCCGTGTGCATTTTCGCCGAATCACCAGCGGTTAAATTTGCAGAGGAGCAAAATCGATATTTGTCAAGCAACCCCCCCCCCAAAAAAAAGAAAGCACTATTTTTTTTCTCTCTTTGCACGGACGCACGTGGGGCAGGACAGGTACCAGATGCCGTAACAGAGGCATGTCCGACTCCTAGGTGAGAGGAGGGGATGCTCCTTTCAAGGGGATTGTGGTTCCTGTTTGCAGCTTTTATAAACACTTGTGTTGAAAACCGAGATGCGAGGCCTTGGTGGGGGAGAGACGGGAAAAAGAAAAGGGAGCCAGAAATAACGGAGATGGGCAAGTGGGATGAAAACAATTTCTTCCCGATGCTGCCTGATTAACATCGCCACCTTTTTGGTCAATTAAACGTTAAGGAGCAATTCTTGGGGCATGCTGGGAAATGTAGGCTTCCCCCCCCCCTTACCGTTACATCCTTAAGTGGTTACACATTGCATTCACTGTTCCTGTCCCCATACTTACTGGTTTATAGAACCCTTTGGTATTACTGTCTTCCATCATCCTCTCCTGATGGAATTCATATTGTAAGCTCCTTGGGGCAGAGATCTGCCTGTTTGGTTATGCCATGCATATGCGTGCAGGAGTGCCTATCTCCATATTACCCTACCAGACCACTTAGATCCTCAACTGAGGCCCTATCCCTCCCCCCACATGGAGTGAGGGAGGCAAGAAAAAGGGCCTTCTCTGTTATCACACCTCATCTTAAACTATTTTCCTAAAGAGGTGCAACTGGTACCCTCGTCATTCTGTTTTCACCTCCAAGTAAAGAATCTTAATTCAGTATCTGCTTTTAGAACTATGTTTTAATTTGCTTTTTGCTGCTGGTTTTATTGTTGCTTATATTATTCTTCTGTTTTGCATCTTATATTAGTTGATTTTATGTGGTTTTAGATGTTATTGATTTATTTCACTATAGCTATGTTACACTGTTGTGTCTGTTTTTTGTGTGCTGCCCGGAGAGTCTCCAGGCAATGGGATGGCATGCAAATACAGTAGATAAATACATAAATAAATAAAGCATCAGGTACATTGACTGGAGCATATTACTAATAAGCAGTAGAGCATTTTTCAGTGCAGATAGCATAACTGGAGAGTAATTAAATGTTATTTGCTGGAGATGTGAGGAGTCTGAGGTTCTCCAAGTTTCCTGCAACTTCAAAATCATGTAATTTCTGGACAAATATCATTCCATGAGTCCATCAAAAGCTACAGATATGAATGGTCTTTTCTTCTTTTAATAATAGGATAAATAAAGGTCATGCCACAAGCAACATTGATTAAAGAGGCAAGCCAGGTGACATCCAAGTCTGGAACCCTCCCATTGGCTATGCTGGCTGGGGTTGATGGAAGTTGTAATTCAACAAGTTGCAGGGAAAGCTTGCTTAGAGAACTTCTAGAATTTGCTGGTAAGAAATGAATGGCCTGTTTATATGAAGATTCAAATGTAGGGGGTTCCTGGATGTATTTTACAATCTTTGGATTATGGTATTGTTGAATCTTACCTTGCCAATTAGCAAAACTATCTGGGCCTTAGCCATCTTTTATTCAATATTCTGTGCACTCCTTTGCTGTATGTGAGCCTTTACATAACCAAAATGGCACCAGCGGCACGTAGGAGGGGGTTATCGGCAGGCTCAGGGGAATCCCAGATTTTGGAAAAGTACAACACATGTTTGAGCAGGAAAAAAAATTGAACATGTAAACCTCTGAAATAACCTGATGGAAATGAGTTTACTCGTGGCCATGGAATACGGACTGATTCTTGAGGCAATGCACTAAATATATTTTGAGCTTTCTACATGAGGTGGTATCTACTTTTCATTTTGTCACACATTTAAGACTGTTGTTGTTGTTAGTTGCGAAATCGTGTCCGACCCATCGCGACCCCATGGACAACATTCCTCCAGGCCTTCCGCTCCTCCACCATCCCCCGGAGTCCACTTAAGCTCAGGATTTAAGATTGGAGTATTCCAGAAGTATTTCCCTTCTTGCTTTTCTGTTACATAACCTCTAGGTGGCAATGTGGTATAGCAGAATAGTGCAAATACACAATAGGAAATAGCATTTTCTTTCACCTTCACAATCAAATGCTGCATTTCCCCTGCTCTAAAAAGTGCTGCTTAGACACTGAATTGGAACTGGAGGGTAATACATTGTCTAAAGAACAAAAATGACTAGGGAATGACAACTACACAATAAATGCCTCTCATAGAAAAGCTCTTCATAATTCATACATTTAGTGGTACGACTACATTTTGCTACATATCTCATATATCCTACATATAATATATTACAGGTTATCTGTTTATAGCACAATCTCATGCGTAGCTTGATAGAAAAAAGTCCTGCATCTCACAGCATTTTCTGTACATTAAAAACGTTCCACACACTTACGATATGTGCTTACATGGATTAAACAATTCAGACAGTTTCTCCTATTAGCTCAGTATCTAATGGGTGAAAACAGAAAAAGGATGATTTTAAACAGCGTTCACCTTTTTCTATGAATTTTCCAGCCACTTCCCTGGCCAGTTTCACTATTCTGGTATTTTAAAGAATTTACATTACCTGTCTCAATATTTTAGCAATATGCTCCTTAAATTCCTTCCCCCCACCACTGAAGCTTTAAGTTGGTGATTTTCAAATTATGTTTCAGACAAAACACAGTAATGGCTGCCAACTTGAAGGAGAAGGCTACCAAATGACTGCGAGTCAGGATGGCTGTTTCCTCCGGAATCAGAAGCAGTATTCCTAGGAATCCCAGTTGCTGGAAATCATGAGCATGAAGATGCTAATATACTCATTTGCAGTGCTTTTTTTGTAAAAAAAAAAGTGCCGGAACTCACGTCTTGGGGTCACACTTTTACACTAAAAAAGATTTTCAATTCACCATCTTTTTTTGAAATAAACAACTTATTTACCTTTTGCATGTAGCCAGTCACTCTACACACACATAAACATAATGGTCGCCGCCGGCAGTAAGCACTCAGCGCGCGACCACTCGACCGATCCCAAGCCGAGCAGCGCCCTCACAATCAGCGCCAACACACAAGCAACCCGCAGGGACTATGTTAATGATTTTTGCTGCTGACCTGCTACGCCCAACAGGGCGATTCACAATCACTTGGGAAAATCTGTCAAAAAAAGGTGCCGGAACGCTGTTCCGGTGCGTTCTATGGCAAAAAAAGCCCTGCTCGTGTGGTATTCGCTGCTATCCCAGAGGCCTCTGGGTAGCCCCTGTGGTGTACTACAAAGACCTTTGGTCTGATTTAGCACTTCTTATGTTCTTGGAGTGCTTGACTTTGCTTAAAAGCTTGTAAGGATGCTCAGGAAGGTCTGTGAGAATAGACTAATGTTCCTAGAAGAGAGCTTATTTTCCACTGCACAGCTTCGCCTACAGTATACAGCCATATGCAGTGCTTTTTTTGTAAGAAAAACGGTGCCGGAACTCATGAAACTATTTACCTTTCGCACATAGTCAATCACTGTACACACACGTCAGTTGTGAAACAACACACAACGGTCGCCGCCCGCAGTAAGCACTCGGCGCGCGACCACACGACCAGTCACAAGCCGAGCAGCATCACAAGCCGAGCAGCGCCATCACAACCAGCGCAGACGAAGTACGCAGGCATCGGACTCGACACACAAGCAGCCCGCATGCACCGTTTTAAGCCGCTACGCTCGACAGGGCGATTCAAATCCACGTGGACCAAACATCAAATTTTCAAAAGTTACTTTTAAAACTTGGAAAATCTGTTGAAAAAAGGTACAGGAACTCTGTTCCGGCCCTTTCTATGACAAAAAAAGCACTGCCCATATGGAACTGGTGGATGAATCCTAAGACATCTTTCCGTTTACATAAGACAATAGGGAGACCCGCCGTGTCTCAGCAGCATTCTGAGTATACTCTGGAGAGCCTATTTCCCATCTGGAAATGGGAAACATTAGCTAGCCAGCATTTTTTGCTACTCATCTTCCCTTTGTCTCACTGAACCTTCATAATAAGCCCTCACAATTGTATGTCTATATTTTAGCATTTTCTGTCAAAATTCACCTCCGCTTTTTGCTGAAATGTGTGGCTCCTGCTGGCTGATCCTTTTGCTATTTTCAAACTTGAATCAGTGGCAAAGGCAAAAGAAAAGAAAATGTTCCCAAAAGAAAAGAACATTTAAAAAAAATACCTTCTGGGTGAGACCAATTTAGGGGACAATTTTATTTATGTTGAGACAGAAAGGGGTCCTACAATTCCAGGGATTCTCCAACCAACCATGCCAGGAGTTGTGGGATTTTTGTCTTTCCAAACATGCAGTAGAAAGGATTGCACACTTAAAGTTAACAACCTGTTTCCCACAGTGGCCAACAGATGCTTCTGGAACCCAAGAAGCAGGGCAGGAAGGCAGAAACTTTTGTCCCCAGTATCACATCCAGTGGAATATGAACTATATATATATGATGTGTGTGTGTGTGTGTGTATATATATGATGTGTATATTTATATATGTGATATATACGTGTGTGTGATATATATCGTTATTTGTTTTTTGGCACCAGGCGAAGACCTTTTTATTCAAGCGGCATTTTAACTGTTAATATTATTGGATTTTATCTGGCCAGGGTGGCTTATTTTATACTGTATTTTTGTATTTTTAATTTAATGTTTATATTTTTGATTTATTTTAACTTATTGTTGTAAGCCGCCCCGAGGCTTCGGCGAATGGGGCGGCATAAAAATGTTTTAATAAATATATATATATGAAATATATATGTGTGTATATATGAAATATATATATATGAAATATGTATGTGTATGTATATACATATGAAATATATATATGATATATATAGAGAGGAACTCTCTCTCTCTCTCTCTCTCTCTCTATATATATATATATATATATATATATATACATGGACTATATATATTTAAAATGTTTATTTCCCGTCCTATATGCATAGCATCTCAAGACGGCTTACAGAAATCAAAACAAGCAATCCATAATCAAAACAACGATTAACAATAATTAAGAATATACATACAATCAACAGTAACCTATCACCAATGAAAACAAAGTCGAGAACAAGAACAAGAACAAAATGCGACTGGATGGTTAAAAACCAGATTAAAATTCCTCGTTCTTAAAATGGTGGGCAAATAAAAAGGGCAGAGTATCTGAGGCTGATTCTCCGGAGCTGCAGCCGCGTGGGCTGCCATTGCACTGGCACTCCAGACTTTGTGCTTGGAGGGAGAAGTACGATTGCAGCGTCAAACCGCATGTCTGCGTCCACAGGAGAACAGGGTCTCTGAATTCCGTGCGACTTGCTTCCAAGTGACCACGCATAGGATGGGCTTCATATATTGGCTGTGATCCTGGAGGTTTTGTATTTCTGTCACCACCATGAATGCCGTCCCTGTTATCCCTTCCCTGTCAAAGCCACCCTCGTGCTTTCAAATTAATTTTTATTGAGGAATTTTAACAACAAATATAAAAAGAAAAGGGGGGAAGTGAGGAAAATAGACACACATACATTTGGATATATCCATACCAATGAAGGACACCTTGGAAATACAGCTCTGCAGCAATTCTATAAGTTTCAACAAAAGCAGACCTGAGAGTCAAATAACTATCCATGCGAAGGTAACATCTGGATGCCAGCTGTTCACCGCTTCCTAGCTGGGGCCAATCTCTGACTGCGCAAAGGATCCAGTGCTCTCTGCTGCATGAGAAGAACCTGGCTGGCAGAACCTTTTCGTGTTCTTTCTCCAGTTCTCTGCTTTTATGATGTCAGAGAGAGAGAGAGCTTGTTCAGAACAAGCAGCATTTCTCAGAAGAGTTCTCACACACCCTTTTTCCTGACTCCAAAGACAGTGCTGAAGGGGAAATAAAACAAATTTAATTTCAAATAAATTAGCATGAAATAAATTGGCACACATTTGGTATGAATTGTAGAGTTTTTTAATGATCCTCATTGTTGCATTGAGCAGCAATGCTTCACTGACTACGCTAAAGCCTTTGATTGTGTGGATCACAACAAATTGTGGCAAGTTCTTAAAGAGATGGGAGTACCAGATCATCTTATTTGTCTCTTGAGAAACCTATATGCGGGTCAAGAAGCAACAGTGAGAACTGGACCCGGAACCACTGATTGGTTCAAAATTGAGAAAGGAGTTTGGCAAGGCTGTATACTGTTGCCCTGCCTATTTAACTTATATGCAGAGCACATCATGAGAAAGGCGGGCCTAGATGAATCACCAGTTGGAATTAAGATTGCTGGGAGAAATAGCAACAACCTCAGATATGCAGATGATACCACTCTCATGGCAGAAAGTGAAGAGGAACTCTTGATGTGGGTGAAGGAGGAGAGTGCAAAAGTTGGCTTGAAACTCAACATTAAGAAAACTAAGATCATGGCATCCGGTCCTCTCACTTCCTGGCAAATAGATGG